AACGATTGACGGACGATAATGTTGCTTCTCTTTCTCTTTTCTACAAATACTATAATGGGCACTGCTCTTTAGAGCAGTGCCCATTATAGTATTTGTAGAAAAGAGAAAGAGAAGCAACATTATGAAGATATGATAAAGGTTGAAGGTTGGCTGCAAGAGCAGGTCCAACTATGTTTACAATGTGTTTTTGCACCTTGTCTAAAAGAGAAAGGACATCATTAGAAGTTTCGCCCCAGATATAGCAACAGTATTCCATACAAGGCCAGATTTGAGATTTATAGAGATAGAGAATAGAATCCAGAGAATAGAATCCAAAGAAAGTATCGAGCTCGATAAAGAGATGCAACTTTAGCAATTGCTATTTTTGTAATGGATTTGATATAGTTTTCCATATAGTTTTGATATAGGTTTCCAAGAAAGATCAAAAGTAAGAGTTAATCCTAGAAGATGAAGGGTAGATAACTCATCGAATACATTACCATTCATAAATATAGGAAGGTCTAAATTATTATGATAATGATTGGCTGAAAAAAATTTAGTTTTATCTGAATTAAAGTATAAATATACACAAAATTACTTAAGCTCCAGGAATTACTGCAAAGACTGTCAAATGGACAAAAGAATACTCAAATATTCCAAATAAGTATGAGAAAATTTACAATATAGCACAGTGCAATAGGTAGCTTTTAGCTACTGGGACTATAGATAAATAGTTAAATATTTTCGATTGTCATCTTCATGATCTTCGACTGTTGGTATTGCTTGTTTCTTCTTGGAGCTGCGCAGACCTGGAACTTTCTCTCCGTCAGCCTCAACAACTTGCAGAATGTTAGGATAATTCACCTTGGTTATGACTGCATCTAGAAAGTTTGCACTTAGTTTCACGCTATGTTCGGCACTGTCATTGATAACATTGACAGAAATCGTCTTCATCATTGATGACAGAAATGAAGGGTGAACTGGCCAGATTTCAACGTTATTGTTAAGAAAAACTTTAGGTTCTTTAAAGCCAGTTCTGTAGCAATAATGCGGCAAAGCCATTCCATCACTAGGCCTCGCTGCCAGAAGCTTCTCGGCTAAGTACTGCAATTCAGACAAGGGGCACCATTTCAGAACATAGGTAACACAGATGACATTTCTGAGCTTTTATAGCGCTTTCAGATATTTCATAACTCACTTGTGTGTACTTCAGAAGGTTCTGATAAAGGCAGAGATCTCGCCATAGTGCCTCAACTGTAGATCAGACACACAATGATAACTAAGCTGCGTAACTTCGTCTGCTGTGCGGCAGTATTTTTTTGACATTATTGTGCTTTGTGGACTGCACCCAGTCGACGAAATCACTAACGCTTTCTTGCGGGGACTTTTTTAGCAAAAAAAGTGTTGATTGCAGGGACCGGTTGCTTAAAATATTTATGATATATTATTTAGTAAGATATTTGTAATATATTATATCTTACTTTAGTTATAAATATTTTATAACTAAAGTAGGATATATGTCAGTAAAGATAATCTTTACTAACCTTATTTATAATTAAAGTACAATATAAAAATTAAAAATATCTTTATCAAATAAAGTATTTATAATATTTTTGTGACAGTGAAGTATGATTTCTCTTTTGTACCTTCTAACTTTAATGCTGTACATAAGAGAGTTTATAACTGAAAAATATTTTTTCTAGAGTGTAAAAATTTATAAAATCTGCTTAAGTCTATTATTATTTGTATCAACAATAGTTTTAATTTAGTTTATGTAAATTCTAATCAACAAAAATGAATTTTATTTATAACCAATGATTTTTTATTATTCCATTTTGTGACATGCATGATGTTGAAGGTAAAAGTTAAAGCAAGTTTTAAATAAATTGATGTTTAAAATAGAAATCTTTATTAAAAACCTGTTGAAACATTTGATTTGATTTTATACTTAACCTATACTTACACTTGTGCTATATTTAAATTTAATAAAGTTATTTAGCATAGTCTTTAATTCAACTTTAAAAAACTAGCTAGCATTATAAAAAAAAATCAGTTTTTCAAGTTTGCTATTTATTAAAGATAAAATAATGTTATGGTCAGACGAATAGACAATCGAAGGGCATGTTATACTGTTAATTAAACTTTCTATTGACTGCAACGATTATTTTACTGATTATTCAGGGTTTTTTAGTTAGCAAATGATTTTAAGGTCTGAGCTCTGATGAATCAAATATGCATAAAATTAGTTTTTTATTCTATATCTATAAAGACCGATAAAATTGCAAACCCTCTAATATACTTGTTACAAGAAAATTGTAAACTTACAAGGGTATACAAAAGTATTTACTTATCCTTAAATCATAAATAACATACTATAGAAAGTATAGAGTTTAATAAAAAATTAAAGTTTTTTATTTATTTTTGATTACTTTAATTAGCAATTAGTTTCCTAATTTTTATTTGAAATTTTGATGTTAACACTATTTTCAAATGCTCGTATTCTTTTATAAAAACAATGATTTAATATGTTCATGATATTATGTTTATGAGTTTTAAATTTTGTTATTTGTTTAGCATTTATTTTACTCTACTTTCAAAACACTTTAAGTCTAAGTAAAACTATAAAATTAGGTTTTTTAATAAAACCATGTAGGTCATTTTCCAATCTGTATTGTGTTTTCTTATTTTAAAATATTATTTTGATATTTTATAATCAAGTAGAAATAAAATCAGAATAAAATAGAAACTAGAAGACACTGTTCACATCTAAATCATATTATTCTTCTAACATTGCTTCACTGGATATATTTTATTTATAAAGTTAGAAAATTTTGAAATTATATTTTTAATGCTTAAGCACTTTGAAAGAAACTACTTTTAATGAAACTTAAAGCAAGTAGCGTGCAAGCTATTGATTGAGTAGTTGGTGATTTATTCTCTTTATAGCACTGCCTGTTCACGAAGTGAATAATAGTAAAAGCAAATGGGAATACCAGCTGTTAAATTGTCCATTGAAATTATTAGTTTTGCAATGATGAAAAAAATAATTCTTTTATAGAAAAAGATGGATTCTTGATAGTTGTCTTATTTAAGAACAGCTAAAGTGCATGGAGGGACAGCTA